TGCAACCTGAATTGCCACAGCAAGGACTCAGGGTAGTGTCTTTTGCTGAGCTAGGCAAAAATAGCATTGTGGACTTTAACAAAATATTTTAACATCCCCACTCTTATACCTGATAGGATGTTGACTTTGCCTTCCTAATTAAATCTAGAGGAGGATCCTTACTGAAAAGAAGTCGGCAGAATATAGCTCCAAAATTAATTATGATAGCTGAACTAGCATTGGCTGAGCAATAGCTTTCTCCTGGTGTTTCTCAGACTTGGATTAATTTTTAAATTAATTATTCATTTGCTCAACAAATACTATGCTTTTCTGTGTATTTGGAAATAATAATAATCATGATGCCTGATATTAAGTCCCAGGACCTAGGATAAGCATTCTTCATGTATCATCTTATTATCATCCTAATTCTAATAAGTCGAGACTCTTGTTATCCCCATTCCATAAATGAAGAAGCAGTCTGAACATGATTAAGTAACTTGTTTAGTATCACAAATATTATGTGGCAGAGCCTAGATTCAACCCCAGTTGTTTATTCGATAGTCTGGCAGGGGAACTCCTTATGTGTTCCTTGAAATGAAGCAATAGCTATTTTCTTATCCTTATAACTGTGCCTGAACCTGACTCTTTTATTTTGAGGTTGGGAGACCACAGCACTTCTGCTGGTCAGTGTTAGCACCAGGACAAGCCTCTTAGGTCCCCTCCACACAGATTGTCAGTCCAAATCTTGGCCTGTCTAGAAAGTCAGCCACCACTGTGGCCTGCGAACAGATGATGTTCTAGTGCAGCAAACCTTGCTGTGTGCTGTGATCAAGGCCTTTGTAAGGTCTACTGGGGACATGAAGGAGAATCAGCTCTACCTGAGAGATGGCCTGGGCCAGGTATAGCTCATGCTACAAAAACCCCCAAACCAAAAAACGCACATTTCAGTTGCTTAACAACACAAAGTGATCTCTCACTCTGATGTAGGTGTGATGTTTAATTTTATGCATTAACTTGACTGGGCTAAGTGGTCCTCAGCTGTAAGACATCATTTCTGGGTGTGTCTGTGAGGGTGTTTCCAGAGAGATCGGCATTTGAATCTGTCCACCAAACAAAGAAAATCAGTTCCAATCTATCAAAGCCAGAATTGCACAAACAAGTAGAGGAAGTGCGAGTTTTCTTTCTTGGTTTGGGCTGCAGCATCCATTTCTTTTGCCCAGGGACATCAGCACCCCTGGCATCAGGCTCTCAGATTCAGACCAGGACTTGCACCAGCAGCCCCTAGTTCTGGGCCTTTGCCCCTGGACTGTGACTTATGCTGTTGGTCTCCCTGGTTCTCAAGGCTCCTGGCTGGGACTGAATCACACATCAATTTCTCTGGATCTCAGCTTTCAGGCAGCAGATCGTGGGACTTCTCAACCTCTAATTTATCCAGCCACATCCGTCCATCCTATGGACTCTGGTTCCCACCTTGACTCTCAGTATTCTTGTTGGGGATGATCTTCCCCAAGGCCATCTGGGTACCCATGTCCATATTGTGGCTGTGTGACCCTGTAGGGCATCAGAATCATTTGCTGGATCCTTTGTGTCTTAGTAAGAGACCAGCTCTTAGAGTCTGTAAACAAGTCAGGATGGCGCCTGGCATTTTACCAGAGAAATGTTAGGGTCTGTAAACAAGTCTGGATGGCGCCTGGCATTTTGCCAGGGGGAGTGGTTTGTGAGGTGGCGCCAGTGAGCCATTAAGTGTGGAGATTTCTTATTGGTTGACTGGGTGTATCTAGTTTATGTTAATTAGATAAGCTGTGTGGAATGTATAAGTACCACTCCTGTCCTACAATAAAGGGCTCCCACTCCTGCTGTATCAATCTACACAAGTTGTTCGTCACCCCCGGTTATTTTGCTGCAGCCGGACTGCGGCAACCAGCAAAGGGTAGCAGCCAACCACAGGAGGCCATTATTGGCCAGAATCTGGGCGAGTCTTTTGGCTCCCTGTTCAATATCCAGAATGCAGAGACTCAGGCTTCAGAGGGGCTGGGAAAGACAGTCCAGCTGTGTGTGCAAGAACGGGAGCAGCTTTGGTCCACACCAAATCCATCTCACTCCTGGCCACCGCTTCTCTGCAGGTGTCTGCCACCACCAGCGTGCACTCCTGGAGCTCATTTGGAATTCCATGCTGGAGCAGCAGGGCTTGGGCATAAAAGGTGCTGAGCACGTTTCTGTGGACAGATTGACGAGTGCATAGTGATGAGCTGACTTGGCTCTTACTCAAATTTAATATAATTTTGAGCTAGCATCAGGATTTGCAAATGTAATGCTTAGCTGTGTACATGAGGAGTTCTAATTCGGAAAGGAAGAAATCCTTTGAAAGGGAATGACCTTCATCCTTGGGAAACGTGCCTGTCAGATAATCAAAGCAAGTCTTAGGTGCTGTCCTTCCTGGGATGACAGAGAGGAATTATACTCACCTCTGTGTCTATTCAGCAAGAGCCTCGTGAACCCTGACCTAAAAAGGGATGGCAAACATTCAGAAGAAAAGCCCTTTACTTTGGCAATGACGGCGGGTGCTGGGTTCTCTGTGGCATGATAGTTGGTCAGGAAACCCCCTGGCCAAGGCTAGTGGGGGTAACAGCAGCTGTCAACTATTTCAGGAAGCCCCAGATTATCGTCTAGACCAGGCTGCTTGACCTCAGCACTACTGACACCTGGGGCCAGATCTCTCCTTGTAGAGAGCTTCCCTATCTATTTAGGATGTTTAGCTGTGTCCTTAGATGCCACTAGATGCCAGTAGCACCCTCAGTTGTGACTCTCAAATCTCTCCAGACATTGTCAAATGCCCTTGGGGAGCAAAACCACTCCAAGCTGGGAACAACTGATCTAGAAAGTCCCTGGTGAAGAGTTTAGAGGTGCAGATCACTCCCCAGCGCTCTCTCACATACACCCTCCATGAGGAGTATCTGGCTTGCCAGGCACTGATGTTTCTGAGGACGCATCTGCATGCACCCCAGTGATGTTTAAGGAAATCGTGGCTGTGAATTCTGTCTCTGCTGTCACCAATGCCCCATTGCAAGCCCCGGGGGAAAAGGTCAGGTTGGAGGGGTAGGGTGGGCCATTCAGGCGGCTAAAAGTCCAAACAGGATCGTTAGTACAGCAGGTGGCCTCCATGACACTGGATGCTGAAGGAATTTCAAAAAGAGTCTCTCCCAGTGGGCCTTGGCCAGCAGGGAGTATTGATGGAGAGAACCCACCAGGCTAACAGGCAGAACCGCTGGCGTTCCTCCCTGGTCTGCACAGCGGCTGGAGCATCCTTGGGCTTCTGTCACCCAGCACCCTAACTCAGAGGGACAAAGCCATGTCACCTCCCAAGTTTGCCAAAGGGTTTCAGAGCTATGACTCTTTATGTCAGGTTCAGGTCAACAGCGACCTGGGAAGGCTGATAGATCGGAAGGCAGTGGCCCCATTTTTACAGACGAGGAAACTGTAACTTGAATTAGGTGGAGTGACTTTCCTGAGGACTCAAGTCTCCAGTTGTTCATGTTGAGACCCACTGAGTCCAGAGAGCCTAGGTGTTCTTTCCACTCTTAAAAGCTGCTGTTGAAATCGTGAAGTCAGGTGCAGATTTGAAGCTGTTAGATCCCACAGTCGTCCGTCCTGGGGAGCTCCAGGGGACATAGGGTTTCATGGGACATGTCTCTCTCTCTTCCTCCCTCAGGCAGGGTAACCTGGGGAAGAAGAAGGAGCCTGGGGGGCTTGGGGGACTCTTGTCACTCTACACGTGGGGACAGCAGGGGGTTCCTGACAACTGCTCATGCCCCGACATGTGAGCCACTGTTGTCCCTGTGTGTTTTGTCACCTGCTATCCAACACAGCTGGCTCTGCTCTCCGTAACATGGGGCTGAAGCTCTCACAGGGGAGCAGGTCTTGTTTTTGTTTTTGAGAAATGTAATTAAAATCTGGAAAGAGTTCGCCAGTTCCAGAGAGTGGGTAAGCTCCCGCTCTGCGGCTCATCCCCGGCCTGTTACCTTGGCTGCCCTTGAATGCTGTGCTGCCAGGGAGCCTCCTCCTTTGTCCAGAGTAATTAGTGTTTGTTAGTTGCGCCACTTTTAAGGGGATAGGTAACCAGAGTTCAGGAAACTGGCAGTGAAACAAAGTCGGGGGAGGGTGTAGCAGGTGGGGCTCCAACTCACAGAGGCTGAAGGGCCACCCGCATCCTTCAGATGGTCCGGGAAGTTCAGGGATAGTGGGGTTGGGGGGCTCCCAGTGGCCTGGGACTGGGCTGTGGCCACTATTCACTCCCTTGCTTGAGTCTCTCATCAAGATAATAATGAGGAGTCTCTCCTGCAGAGCCTGACAAGGCCCAGGTTTTTAAAGTCTTTTCATTTGATTGCCCCAAATTCTGTGCCTTGTGTATTATCATCTCCATTCGACATGGGAAAATGGAGGTCCAGGCAAATGATAGGTCTTAAATCTAAATACAGCAGCAGTTAACCGGCAGAGTTGATGGAGACCCAGGTCTGCCTCTTGCAGCCACCATGCCATGCGTCAACCTTGATCCTAAAGAGATGGACACCCAGAAACTGGGTTGGGGTCAGTGTAAGGCATGATGTAACGTGAGACATGTTGCATCAGAAAAGAGGAAACTTAACTTGCTGGCTGCTACCCGCTTCCCAGTCCTGGGGCCACTAGTGGCTGAGAGAGCACCTAGCGATTAGCCAGAGGGCATTGCGGTGGGTGGTGATGAAGAATCGGACCACCTCTAAGATAGGCTCAGAACCCTTCTGCACTCAGGGACATTACTGCCTGTAGGTTGGGTGTAGATGTAAATTTTCTCCACCCTGCTGACCTTTACCCTGATTGGCTCCTGTACATTATATTAGCTGTGTGTTTTCTCATTAAACAACATCCTGCTTTGACTGTTCTCCCTGGCCTGCCGGATTGTCCTTGGGGAGGGAGGGCTGGGTGTGGGTGGCCAGTCGACCTTTACCTTTCTTGGCCTGTCCTGGCCGGGGCGTGCTCCCCCAATCTCTCCCACAGGTCCGGAGGGAAGGGGGCGGCTAAAAACCCTGACAGGTCAGGACAGAGATAGCAGCACTGTGTTGGGAGATGGTGGCTGAGGCATTCAAGGAAGACATACCTTCATAACACTTTGCGTTTGGTTGTGGATGACCCAAAGTTAGGGAGACGGAAAGGTGGGAAACAGAAGTGAGTAGAGGTGAGATGGGGAAGGAAACCGTGGGAGGAAGGAGCAAGGATCCTGTGAGCTGAGTGGCATGGAGGGAATGCAGGATGCCTGTTCAGGAGGAGAAAGAGAAGCTGAAGAGGGGTCTGAGCACCTTCTAATTAGAATAATTGGAGGGATTTCAGGGGAAATGGGGAGCGCCAGGGCTTCTGTAACTCCAACCATGATAAGGGTCATTGAGATGGGCTTTTGAAGCCCCAGGGAGGGAGACCAATAGGCTCCCTATTTGCCTTCTGTCCCTAGGCTCCTTCATGTCTCCTTTCGGGGTCACAAGGAGAACTTCAAAAGGCTCTGAGTGACTTAAACAGACCTGCAGACCACAGCTCCTGTTTCACCCTGTGACAAATTGAAACGGCTTGTTTCTTTGACACAGAAGGCTGAGCACTGCTTCAGACGCGCTGAAGTCACTGCCTTTCCTGATCATGTTTCCCACCTTGGCCCGTGACATAGGGATTTCTGACCTTCTGGAGTGCTGCAAAGAAGCGCCCTTTACTCTGCCCCTGTCAACTCACTCCTCTTGGAGACGGGGAGGAGGACTGAGCTGGAGGAAGGGAGCTTGACCGAGCTGGGCCTCCTGGGCCAGCGCGCGCTCTCTCGCTCTCTCTCTCTCTCTCTCTCTCTCTCTCCTTTCCGTAGCTGGTCTAAGGGAAAGTGCTTCCCTCCTGTTTCTGTCCTCAGGGGGAAGCTGCAAGGTGGAGTCCGGCTGGTCTTGGTGACTCATTGGACGGAGCCTCTCTTGACGGACAGTGTGTGAATTGGTCCCAGCCTTTGTCTAGCTACTCAGGTAGGCCTTTGCTCTGCGGACTTGATGCCTCCATTGTGTGAAGTCTGGGATTTCTAGGCTTCCTGGAGGAGGTGCCCACTGTGCTGCCATATGATCTATTATTAGGAATCAATTATTAAGGGATCAGTCAGGTGAAGATGGATTGGAAGAACAGTGGGCAACGAGCCTGCTATTTCCACTCTGTGGCAGGCAGGGAGCCGGAGGTGTGAGATCAGGTGTTGCTGTGGGAGGATGGGGCTGGGGGCTGATCTCCGAGGCCTCCTCAGTTTGGTGGATGTCTGTGTTCGTCAGCTTCCTGTCACTATAACAAATACCTGAGACCATCAGCTTATAAAGAGAAAAGGGTTATTTTGGCTCACAGCATCGGAGATTCCAGTCCCATGATCACTGGGGCCCTTTGCTTTGGGGCCTGTGGCGAGGCAGCCCCTCATGGAAGGGAATGTGAGGGGGAGCAAACCTCTCCTCAAGGCCAGGAGCAGAAAAGACAGGGGAACAAGGGACTAGGGTCCTGCTAACCCCTCAGGGGCATGTCCCCAATGACCTGAAGGCCTTCCACTGGGTCCACCTCATAGAGGAGCTGATTGGAGCTTTGTCAGCAGGTGCAGTGCAGGGCGAGGGCAAGGACATCAAGGGTGCTGTGAAAGGTGGCCTTGCCAGTCTGTCACGGGGTGAAAGCTGGGTCAGGATGGGGACTGCATAAGGGATCCCGGGGGCTGGCAGAAAGCAGGGGGCTGAGCAGGGAGGAGGGCCCAGGAGCCCTCCCTGGAAGGAAGGTGTGAGAAGATGCGGGGTTGGATGAGTGGAGGAGGCTGGAAGTGACGTCTTCAGAGAGAGGCTGGTGGGAGGGAGCGCCCTGGGGTGGTGTCGGAAGGTCGGCTAATCAGAGGCTGGGGTGTTGCTCTGGGAGGATGGGGCTGGGGGCTGATCTCCGAGGCCTCCTGGGTCTCTCCTGGGTTGTGCTGGAAGGTGCTAGGCCGGCCTCTTTGGCGCCTGGCGACATTTCCACTCCCCTACAGCGTGTCCCACGTGATGCCTGATGGTCGCCCCAGACTCATCTGCACAAGACTGACTCCACTGTGTGTTCTGCACCTGCTGCTCTTCCTGGGTGGCTTCTCCCAGCGGATGTCCCTGTCCCCTGTGCAGGGACTGTGCCTGAACCTCTCCAGTCTGAGTCCCATTGCTTCGTCTTGGCCTAACTCCTACTCCAGGACTCTCCTGTCTCCGCATCACCCCCACCTCTCAGCCTGTTGATCTGTGACAATGGCTGCAGCCTCCCTGGCTTTCCTACCCTGAAAAGCTGTCCCCCACCCTCATTTCAGCCTTTGAGGTGCTCCTCCAGGAAGCCTGAGACTGACACTCAGAGCATGTCATTCCTCTGCTCAGTGACAGCTTTTCCCCCCAGCCGAGCCCTCCAGGCCCTTTAGTCTCATCTCTAACTTCATCTCCAGCATCCCTTTCTATGTTTCCACTATTGTCCCCAAGTGCCACATGAGTCTCCTGTTCCTGAGAGTTCCACTGTTTTCTCTTTCCTGAGGCTGTGACCTCAGCCTGGAAGACCCCCCAGAGACGCCCTTTTAACTCTGCCCCATCTCTAGGACCAGCTCGGATAGCACCCTTCCATTGGCCCAGCCTCCATTTGCTTTTCTCCAGTAGAAAACAGGCTGCCCCCCCTGGGAATTCCCGAAGGACTTTAAGCAAACCCCACACTGTTGCAGTATTGTCTCAGCTCTGACCAGCGCCATGCCATCCTGATTACCCCTGTTACACCCTGAGCAGCTGAGAGTAAGAGGCAGGTGCTAGTCTGTTCCCTCCGTGCCCCCGAGGTACCTGGGCAGAAGAGGAGCTTTGGAACCTGTTAGGGACCAGTGGGATTCCAGGCTGCACCACTTGGAAGCTGTGTGCCTTGGGTTCATTTCTGAACCACTCTGAGCTTCAGGTTCCTCATCTGTAAAGAAGGACGACGATACTGATTTCCCAGCACCACTTGGAGTGTGGCAGAGGCAAGCAGTGGGCTCTCACCTGGCACAGGGAAGGGCCTAAATGAATACCTCCTGTCCCTTCCAAATCAGAGTTTCGAATATGTGGAAAGAGAAACGGAATGGAATGAATCAGACGCTACTCACAACGGTTTCCAGGAGTGCCTGTTTCCTGGGCAGGGGAGGGAAACAAGGACCAAAGGAGACTTCTTCTCTCTTCCTGCACCCCCCCAACTTAAAAATAATATTTTTAGTGGTCAATGGAGCTTTACTTATTTATAAGTCGTGCTGAGGATCAAACCCAGTGCCTCACACAGGCTAGGCAAGTGCTCTACCACTGAGCCACAACCCCAGCCCCCAGCTTTTTTTACTTTGAAGATTTTCTTTAATGAACATCTTGTATTTTTTAAGTTAGAAAGCATTTTTATAAGCAAATGACTGTGCATACACACACGTGCCGATGAACATTTAGGTGTGTCACACGCACACTCATTCATATTGAGAAGAGCTGACCACTCTCGAGCATTTCCACCCAAAGACTGCTAACTAAGCCTGCTGTCCTCTCTCTGAATAGTCCCGAGGATCCCCGATGCCCCACAGAAATGCCCCTCCATTTCCACATCCCATTTCCTTTCTTTCATCTCCAGGACAACTCCTTGGAGGAAAAGCTTTAATTGCTGTTTTCCAGCAGGGTTTGCAAGGGCACGCAGGCCGTGTTCAACCATTTGTCTCTTCTGCTGGAGGGGGTGATGGGCGGGACAAATTAAAGTAGGGTCTCCTCGGGTCTCATCACAGTAGCAGCTCTGCTCTCCCTGAGGTGGGGAGCCTCAGGCCAAGGACCTGGGAAATGCAGAGGCCACTCCAGGTCCCTAGAGGTTGAGGGATGCCGAACCAGGGCAGGTGCAGAAGAAGGAAGGCCAGGTGCTTTCCCCTCTGGTCCTGGCTCTGCTGTGTCCTTGCTTTGTGACTGTGGGGAATGCCTTGCTTTGTCTTTCTGGCACCCAGCTTGGTTCTCGGGAGTACAGGAATGCAACTCCTATTTCCCGGTGTTCTGCAAGGTTAACTGAAGTCATTAAAGCCCCTAGCCTCTGAATCTGCGCATGCAGTAAAGGTTCACGAGGGCCCCCCGCCCCCTGCCTTTTCACCGTGTTCCTCACAGGTCTGGGGAGTATGCTTGTTAGAGGATGCTGACATCCAACCGACACCCATGTGGCATCTAATTTCTGAGCAAGTACCTACTAGGCATGGCCAGATGACACGGAAATGTGTGCCCCTGTTCCCCAGAGAGGATAGTCTCGTGGATCTTGAAAAAGGCTGAGGGGATATTTAAAATCCTTCAGTCCAGGAGGATTGTTGAGGCAGAGCAGGGTCCTAGGGAGCACTTGCCAAAGGCTGCAGAACACTCCAGAAAGCAGCAGGAGCATCCCCTGCCCAAGACCTGACTCAGCCTTGGCCCCTGAGTATTGACACCCTTCTTTCACAGGTGAGAAAAGAGAGGCCCAGGGAGTTCAGGGAGCATCTGTCTCCCTGAACTGGGATTCCCTTCCGTGGAAAGGGCTGGCTGAGAAATAAAATCTAGGAAAAAAAAAGAACGATGAAAAAAATCAGAGAACACAAAACATATTTCAAAAGTGGGGGTGGGGTGGGCTAGCCGAGCTTCTATACTAATGGCAAAATGGAGCCCACACCTGCTTCATTTATATTGGATGACATCAAAGGCCTTCCATAGAATGTTCTTCTCCAAGAAAGGTTAAAGGTGGACTGCCCAGTTCCCAACGGGTTATGCTCATTTCTGGAGCGACCACGAGAGCTCTTCCTAGCAGAGCTAAGGCAAAGCTCACGTGCCTTGGGCAATCTATTGCACGGAGAGCCACAGATAGTTCCCAAGGTTAAACTTAATCACCGGCTTCAAGCCGAGAGAAGATCCTCGTGTGTTTTCATGGATGGCTCCCCACACATCTCATTCAAAGATACAGCTGCTGCCTGAGCTGGGGAATTCAGGACCCATTTCTAGGATGAATGAGTGAACAGGGACGGAAGCTCACTCGCTCTGGTCTTCAGAAGCATCTAGACCTTCCCAGCCTGCCACAGTCTGTCCTCCCAACTGCTGTTGTCACTGTGTCGGAGCCGCTCTCATTTCTGCATGCCCTGGTTCGGATCCCTGGAGTGGACTCCAGAGCCCACAGAGGTCCTTGGAGTAGAAGCAGACGTGGACACCTCTCCGGCCCTACCTCTGATCACCGAGTTCCTTCTGGAGGTTCCTCTCCACTCCTTGGGCTCCGGGTCTCGCTTCCCTTTCCTCCTATGACCCTAGTGGTTTCCCCTCCATGCCTTACTTTACTGAGTTTTTTCTTGCCCTTCCCTTTTCTGGAAAGTTCTTCCTCAGCAGCGACAGTCTTTGGTTCTAGCTAAGCATGACCTCCTCGGAAGGAATCAGGTTCTGGGTTCCCAAAGCACTGGAGCTGGTCTGTTACCATCCCTGTCTGCTACCATCACAAGTGTGGTCCTGGAGGGTGGGAGGGTGAGACTGACAGGCCTCTGAGACCCCAACTCCTAGCCCTGGACTTGGTGTGGAGGAGACGCTCTGGATGCCCTTGATGGTTGGCTGATCAACTGAGCCCAGCTCTCTGCTCACCTCTGGGAGCTGGGGCTGAAGTACGTGTGGTGTGGGTGGTTGACTGGGGAGCATGTGGGGCGCTGAGATGAATGGGCTATGAAGCCTGGGGAGGAGGCTGGGTTTGACAGGGAGCTTTAGTGGGAATCCTGGCCAGCCTGGGACCATGAATATCATGGGTGCCATGGTGGAGATGGCAGGTAGAAATTATCACGCCTGTTAACATGTAATGAATGCCTGTTATGTGCCAAACTCGTATTGGGTTCACCTGGTCCACATGATATTCCTGTAAAAAAGTAACTTCCGTCATCACCTTCATGTATTATTATCCTTATTTTGCAGACAAGGACTCTAAGATTAAGAGAGGCAGTTCACTCATAGACACCAGCTATGGCGTGGAGGAGCAGGGAGGAAACCCAGCTGTTTGGTGCTGCACTCTATCCCTCAGGTATCTCGCTCTATTCACATGACATTCAACAGAATGATGGCTTCATCTGCCAGAGTCTTGCTGAGGCTAGTCCCAGAGCCAAGACTATAAAGTGGAAAGGGACCTGCAAGGCATGAAATGAACAGGTGCCTGGTAAAGAGCTCAGATCTCTGCAGGCGTGTGTGTTGGGTATAGGTTTAATAAAGACCTTGTCACCACGTTTTAGGCATGGTTGCTGTGCGCAGAACTTGTCAGCGTACCAAGCTCTTTTCCATTCACTGTCCTGTTTGATGCTCACACCTGCCTAACGATGCTGGTATCATTATTTATGGATGAGCTCAGGTCACTTTATTGTCACTCTCTGGTTAAGTGGTAGGACTAAGAATCCAATGCATGTCCATTTCCTTGTCTTACCAGTGCTGGGAGGTCTGAGCTAAGTTCAATACTGACAACCCCCTTCCCTGTGCAGAAGAGATGGTTGGAACATCTAAGGGTCACGAAGGCCAGGTTGGAGGACTTGACTTACATCTTTGGGTGAATGGGCTTATTAAAATTAAACTCTAGAATTGGACTCATTTAACCATGCAGTCGCAGCAGCTGGAGTGGGACAGGACACTGGGTCCCCGTGTGGAGGGTGTGCCCAGGTTAGCCTCAGGACAGGGAGGAACAGAGCAGGCAGTCTCCCTCTTCAGATGGAGACCACAGGAGCTCATCTGAGCCTTCCTGATGTATTTTTCCATATTGGACAATCAGATAAGTCACGTCAGCCCCCAGAGACACCGAGTAAAGGTGACAGAGGGAGGCCAGTAATGAAATTGCCTCCACAGGAAGGAAAGAGGTGATATCAGAGTTACATTGATCACATTCCTTCCTTTAGGGGGAAATATCAAGAGTTGGGAACAAGAGTTCCCACATAACTATAAGAAGTCCTGAAAATTCCTAACCACAATTCTGCATCCACAGGAACTTCAGCTGGAACATGGCCAATATGTTCCCTTCAGGCCTGTGGGAAATGAATTCCTTTTCCTTTCTGGGCAGACTTTGGCAGAGGAGAGTCAGGCAGAATTTTCTAGTTGATTAAGTGTGTTAGAAAGTTAAGACAAGGGCTTTCCTTTACTGAGCAGGAAGCTATCATGGAAAAGAATGGCTTCTTAATGAGAGATGCCAAGCCACAAAATAGGAGATCATTCTGAAAAAGGTTTTGTAATGTAAAGTTTGCCTGATGGCTCAGAAATCTATTTTGAGCTGAGGTGCATGTCCTGAAAACTCAATTTGAAGTAATGTAGGAATTGTCACATAGGCTATGCTGATAGGACCTGGCCCTTTGGCATCTGGGAAAGTGCCAGAAACAGGAATGTCACTGTCAGCTTCCTCTACTTCTGCTCTAAAGCAGGTCACCAGACTCTCGTGTGAGAGTTGTCCTCCTTGTGCACCAAGGAAAGAAGCATCCTATCCCTGAAGACCCAGGGTCACAGAGAAAGATCTAGACTTGCTAAGTCCCCAGCGGATCGCCTCTTGACCATACCCTCTTTGACGTGTTGTATCTCTTCACAACTACACACTCTTTATCACACTTAGCAGAAAAACACACAAGCTCACCTGTTTCCTTAGGTCTTTATTTTCCTTTTGAAGGTTCCCATGTCACACTAAACTTACAGCAAGTGAGTTTATATGCTTCTCTCTTGTTAATCTGCCTTTTGTTAGAGTGACCTCAGTTATGATCTTAGTGATGAGTGAGTAAAAGATATTTTTCCCACCTTGCAATACCCAGGAATAAATTAAGTTCAATTAAAATGATAATTATTATTTGGAAAACATCAAAATACCAGGGAAGGCATTTATGCCTTTTTTAGAAAATCAGATTTGCTGAAATATAGTTTACATACAATAAAATTTACTATTTTTTGAAATTTTTTAAATTTTATTTATTTATTTTTTAGTTGTGGTCGGACACAATACCTTTATTTTATTTCTTTATTTTTATGTGGTGCTGAGGATCGAACCCAGGGCCTCACCCGTGCTAGGCGAGTGCTCTACCGCTGAGCTACAACCTCAGCCCTTAAAATTTACTATTTTTAAGCATGTAGTTTTGACTTTTGACAAATGTATGTAGTCATGAACTCACCAGTAAGAACTATTGGTTAGAAAAATATCCAAATCTTCATATAGCTGCTTATGCCTTACCCTCCCCTCCACACACCTGCCAGCAAATACCTGCAGAATGTTAGAGGAGGATCAGAGGTCTGGGACCCTGGACCTCAGAGGAGGAACACCAGGCATGACCTCAGAGCACCAGCAGGACCACGGAGGAGGAACGCCAGGCAAGGCAGGACTTCAATAAAACTTCCAGAATATTGTCTTTCTAGGCCTTACTGCATGTAACTGATTGCTTGTGGAATCATACTTTTGATTAAGGAAAGGTGTGCTTGAGAATCGCCCTTCGACCAAGGAGAATCCTCAAGGGAGAGGAAAACCCGTCACCAGATAGCAAAAGCATAAACTCAGATTCCTAAAGTAGCCGGAAACACCAGAGCCACGCTCCGGTGGCTCACACACCCACCGAGCTCCCATTGACGCAGCACTTTAGTTAGAAAGTGCTTTCTCGAGCATTTTACAGCTTAGAAAGTGCTGCGCATCCGTTAGCTTGCTTAGTCCCTCCCTGCTGGCCTGGGGCTGAGCAGGCCCCCCAGTGAATTTGTGTACAGTTGGATCATAAAGCTGTTCCTCCCTGCCGGCCTCTCCCTCGCCAAGCACGGGCCACGGAGGACAGCTCCTCTGCCATCGGCCTGGAGATTACTCAGTGACTATCCATCATGTTTGTGGATAGCGCCTCCTGCGCTGGGCACAGGGTGAACTGCAGAGTCGGGTCCAACAGTAACTTGGAATTCTGGGCTCCGCGGCCGCGTGCCTGCTGCTCTGCCTGGGACTGGCAGAGTGTGAAGAAGTGATGTGGCAGAAGAATCCAGAATGCATCCCAAGAAGGTCTTTGCTTTCTTTTTCTAAAGCCTAATTGTGGAGTAGGGGGAGAGTCCTCAGGTGAGTAAAGGGTGGGGGGCGACCTCCTCCCCTCTCTTCAGGGGGTGAACCCATTACCCTGTGAAACTACATTACCACGCTCTATCAAAGCCACTTGGGGCGATGGCTTAGCAATCGTAGAACCTAGATCCTGTGGTAACTGTGGCATCAAGTTGCTGTTTGCTCTTGAATAAGCCTATTGCCTTCTCTGATCTTCAATGATATCACTTGTAAAAGGAGGCCAGTTGTTGATTTATGACTGTCTCTAGAAATGACATTGTAGGACTGTGTGGGAGGGCTGCTAAGAGGAGGAGATATGGGAGAGCAGCTCCAGTAACTTGAGTGCCGAGGAGGAGGGGCTCTCTGTAAGTGCTCTGAAGTCATGGGAATCTCAGCAAACCAGCGCCCCCACCAAGGTCTCCATGCCTCTCTCCATCACTCCCCCCACCTTGGGCTTCCTCCCCTAGGACCCTCTTGGGGCCTTCAAATTGAAGCCCCCAAGGGATTGCTGCAGTGGGTCGTATGAGACATTGATTCCAATACCAGCCCCGGCCCTCACCTTCCCAGTGTAGTTTTCTTTTCTGATCTGTGTCTGCAAGAGAGATAAGGCAACCTATGCCCCAGAGCTGTTGGAAGGGTGAAATTGGATGATGTATAATGAATGACAGCTACTATTAAATAATACTAGCATTTTAGTAGCCAGGGAATCAGAGACACTGACACTGTCCCCAACCTCCCCCATTCTGGTCCTTAGGAGCTGCCAGGAGCAGCATTAGAAATGTACCTTGACTGTGTCTCTTGGAAGTGATTCCTCCCTGTCTCCCTGCCAAGAACAGGCGCAGGGCGAGAAGCCCGGGAGTTGCGCCCCAGACCCACACTCACCAGCGGTGGGAAGGAAGCCCCTGCCAGTGTTCCCTGTGTGGGTGTTTGTGGAGCACTGGCTGGGGCTGGGGTGGTCCTGAGCAACCCCAAAGGTTAAGTAAAGAGAACATGGGACCCCAGCTCCCCGTGTCTCAAGGGTTGACAAGCGGTGCTGGGGTCCTGGGGTCTGGGGGGCACCTGGTGGGATTCCAGGAGTTCCTAGCAAGGCTGCTGTCACTGCTGGTAAATTCATTACTTGCTGATGTGCAAAGCCAGCTCTATCAAATGGTAACTGGGGCAGGAGAGGCCAGAGAGACAGGGAGGGACAGGCACCAGCAGGACTCATGGTGGCCACGCCTTTCGAGGTCCAGCTAGTGTGCGTTCCTGCAGCCCAGGCACAGGGGCTTCCCAGGCAGATTGTGAGTGAGGGAGGGAGAGAGGGAGGGAGGGATGGGCACAGCACCATCTCAGCATGGTTGAGGGGTGCAGGCAGGAACACTCGGTCCATGTTTTAGGGACCTGGGAGCTCCATAGCCTGGAGGAATCTGGATGTCCCAAGTTCCCAAGGTATCTTATCATGTTAAGAGGCAGACTCTCCCATGTGTGCACTACTTCAGGGGCACTACAAGGGCCCAGCATTCAGCAGTTGGGTGGAAGATGCCATTTGGCATCGTTGTAGCAAGTGCTTCTTGTTCACTGTCAGGTTTATCTTGCACCAAGGAATCTCAGTCTGGAAGACACCAGAGCTCAGGAAATCACCTATCCGGAATGCTTCTAAGAAAGTAAATGATAATAGGTGACATTCAGAGTTATCTTCCAAGGTTCAGGCATTGTTCTGAGTGCTCGATATGTTTTTTTCTATTATCACATCCATTTTACAGATGAGGAAACTGTGGCTTGGAGAGATTGTGTTGCCTCTAATGCCACTGCCAGTGAGTGTCAGAGTTGGGCTTCGAACCCGGGCATCTGGTTGCAGAGTCCACTGTGGTGACCCCTGCAGTGATTAGCCTTGATGAAGGAGATGAGGTTCTACCTGAACTCACAGGCCAGCAGTGGAGAAAGACGAAAAATTAATGAGCCCATAAAATCATTGACAGCTGTGAGGGAGACAGGAACTATTTTGGATACAATAGGCAAGGAAAGACTGGGTGGGGAGGGAATTCTGGGGGTGGGGAAACCTGAGGAAGGAGAGGGGTGCCTTGCAGGAGGTCTGGCCAGTGGGAAGAGCCAGCCCAGGGCTGCCCGGAGTGCGGTGAGTGCGGAGGGGTGGGCGCCAAGGCAGAGAGGCAGGCACCAAGGGGTGGTTTCAGGAGGATGGGCCTCAGGTGTCCAGCAGAAACTGACTAGAAGCACCCAACTGGGAGAGAAGAGAAGTAGAATCGGCCCAACAGCAGGCAGTAGCGGGGCTCAGGCGGACCTCAGGGGTAAAAACTGATGAACCAAATCAGGCGCCACAAACACAAAGCCGAAAGCAGACTGGTGGGGAGGCTGGTTCTAGGCTGGGAAGGTGTGCAGGAGACAAGCCCAAAGCATCTTGAAGCATCAGGAAGTCAGCAGGTGCCCAAAAGAAACCCCATGACTAGGGGGTCACGTCAGGGGGACACAGGGGTAACTGAAAGAGTGGCCGGTAGTCAGAGCTGCAGCAACCTGGGCACCGTGGTAAATACAGTGATATCATAGCGTAACCCAAATTGTAAAGTAAATCTCCATGCATGCATATTGATAGGAATGAAAGGCTGAATAAATAAATAAGTGGGATAGAACAGACAAAGCTCACATGCAGAATTCCAAATAAGTATGTCTTCTGCCCTCAAGGAGGTGAGAGCGGAATGTAAATCCCCCCACAAGGGTGGACAGTGCTGTGACTTCTCTCCAGAGAGGATGGCATGGAAAGGGGTGGGAAGCCCTTGAGCCCTTCCCCTGCCAGATGATCAAGGTCCAGACGCACAGTGGGGAGTCCTGATGGCAGGATGTACCTCCCCTGCTAGGCTGTGGCCAGCCCTGTGGTCCCCCTCCCCAGACCCACAATCTCCATCCGACCCTGAGAAAAACATCAGACAATGAGGAACATTCTACGAAACACCTGGCCAGTCTCCTCAACACTGTCAAGGTCACTCAGAGCAAAGAAAGTCTGAGAAACCATCACAGACAAGAGCCCCAGAAGACCTAACAACTAAATGTAACGTGACGTCTCAGATGGGATCCTGGGACTGGAAAGGAAAGTCATGTTAAGAACTACGGGAACCTGAATGAAGTGTGGACTTTGATAAATAATAAGTGTTCACTGTAGGCTCATTATTTGTGACAAAGGTCCCAGACTACTATGTAAGACACTGATAAGAGGGGACATGGAATGGGGGCGGGTGGGGAGGGATCCCATAGTATCTTCATTTGTTTTCTGTAACTATAAAGCTATTCTAAAATTAAAAGTTTATTTAAAAAGTTCAGCTGACTGAGTTCATTCAGTGGAGGAAAATAATAGCTCTGCATGCTTTTTAGAATATAGATTTCCTTGTTTCCAAAAGTAATAGTCATTATGAAGTATCTAATTTTGAAAAAGTGACATTATTTTTTTAGCTACTTTCAGAGGATAGGGATGAACGTGGCACATTTAGAAAGATACTGGAGTCATCTTTAGATCTCACATTGGTTAAAATTTATTGACACTTAGAGCTAATGTTGGTGTCTCAGTCAGTTCCTGCTGCTATAACAAAACACCTTAGGCTAGGTAATTGATATGGAACGGAAATTCACCTTGCACAGTTCTGGAGGCTGGAAGTTCAAGATCAGGGCATTGGTGATTTGTGTTTGGTGAGACCTCCCAGATGGAGCCTGCTGTGGTTTGGACAAGTGTCCCTTAAAGGCCCATACTTAAAAGTCTTGGTCCCCAGTGTGGCAGGATTGGGAGGTGATAAAACTGTAGGAAGTGGGGCCCTTTGGGAGATCCTTAGGTCACTGAAGGCATGCCATCAAAAGGGATGCTAGACCCCACACATACCCTCTCTCTGCTTCCTGGTTTGAGATGTGAGTTATACTCCTCCTGCCATGATGCGCTTACCTTGCCGCAGGCCCAAACCAATGGAGCTGCCCAATCTTGGACCTGAACCTCCATGACCATGAGCCACAACAGACTTCTCTTTACGTGATAAGTAGCTGGGTGTCCGGTATTTTGTTATAGCAATGGGAAGTGGACCAATAGCACCCCTTGCTGCACCCTCACCTGGCAGGAGGGGTGGAAAGGTATTTATTTCCTGGAGCCCATGGGGGGGAGGGGTTCCTTTTGCAAAGGCACCAATCCCATTCACAGGGGAAGAGCCCTCATGACCTAATCATCTCCTAGAGGCCCTGCCTGGACAACACTGCTCTGGGAGTTAAGTTCCAGCATGAATTCTGGAGCCACGTGACACCAACATTCAAGCCAGGCTTTTGACTATAGTATTGAAAGTCAGGCTGGGCTGATAGACAGACCTGGGTTCAAAGTTCACCTACCAGCTGTGCAGCTTTGTACAATGACACAGCCAACCCTCAGGACCTTGATTTCTCCCTTGGAAAAATGGGAGCCAAGTGTCTGCCTCACACTTAAGACTTTTGTGAGAAGGAAATGGGGTAAAACACAGAAAGCACTTTGCAGATATTGAGAAGCTCCTGGACCCTGACACGAACATCACAAGTGACGACAAGCAAGGCGCGTTCAAGCCACCCCCACCATCTGCTTGGCTATGATTGGAGTTGTCCTGGCTACTTAAGCCTTCAGAAGTGCATAGGTCACCTGAGTGTAAGGATGGCCTTAAAGAGAGGCCTTAGCCCAAGTAACTCCATTTTGAAACAAAACTGCAGTCCCCACCAGGCACTCCAGTATGGTCATCAGGCACAGCCTGATAAAAGCAAGTCACTTTCACAACCCTGATAGAACTCAGAGTGAAGTCTCTGCCATCTTGCCCTCACCCTGATGAAGGCAAGAGGCGAGAGATCAGGGCGGAAACCACCAGACCAGATGCCTTAACCTCAGGACAGATGAGGTCACTGAGAAACCCAGCAACCGCTGATAGGGATTCAAAGGGCGGTTGGAAGCCCCCAAATTTAGTATAAATGATGGAGCAAATGAACAGACATTCAGCCAGCTGACACCGATGCCCACATGCCGGAGAGCCTGATGAGGACCTAGACTGACATCCCATCTCTCCTCATCGTTTACCTGATCCTCTGCATCTTCCTCACCGCTCTCAAAACTTTACAGCCACATCTTGACCCTGATGAGAACAGCAACTTCTCCTTAAGACCCTCTCCTCAGCCAGCCATCAGCTCCACTCCAGGAGAAGCCTGCCTCAGTCCCTGACCTGGTCACCGCGGTCTGAGTGAGTGTGCATCTGCTGGACTTAAGGCCTGAGGCTGAGACTTTAGATCTGTCATTTGAGCCTAGCATGCGGAGGGAATGTCTGTCATTAGCCTGTCATGATTAAGAGCGTTTGCAGTGCTTAGAATTAACCTAGAATTGTTTGCTGTCAGTTGATTATGTCTATTGCAGTGCCTAGCATAAGGATGGTCATTTTCTTGATTCAGAACCTATAGAGGGAAATTGTATTGAGTGATTTGAGTGAATAAACATTGAAAAGGCAGAAGCGCATAGACATTCTTTATTTCTCCCCCTCGACTGCGTAAGTCGCAACTTTGCCGATCACAACACTGAGGATCTTCATCTAAGTCAGTCAGGTTCCCAGGCTGGGGATCAGAGGTGGACTTTCCATCTCTCCCAAGTGCCCAGGTGACAGGGAGGCTGCTGTACAGGTCTGCAGGATGAGGCATGGGGATCTGGGCTGTGGAGTTGACCCTGACCAAAACTACCTCATGGGCTGGGGGCCAGTGACCCTCCCTCCCATTTGCAAAACAAAGCAAAACAGAGAAATGAGAAGTTGAAACATGAGCCATTTCCTCTCCAGGACCAATGGCTTTGCGTCTTAACATGAAACAGCCGGTCCACTCACGAGGTCTGTCTGCCACAGCCGCAGGCCCAGCCGCTAGAAGCCCTGGCAGAAGCTGCATCCCTGGCCCTGCCTGGGTTCCCAGGAGCTGACCCTGAGCCCCTCAGCCCAATTGTTAAGGTTTGTGAGAATCCGAGTGGACCACTAAACCTCGAGGAAACCCAAACCATATCCCCCAAAGCCCTAATTTTACAGATAAAACTAAATGGAACAAATTACATTATTTCCATCTGACTTCCTTTCCTCGTGGCTTATTTCGACACCCATGAAATAAATTGCCATCTACCCCCCAAACCAGCTGCTTCCAGTCACAGTGAATGGATCATGGTTTAATGAAGACAGCCATCTGTTTAGGGGTAAAATTCCT